GTACCCTCACATCCTCACACCCTCACACTTTCACATCCTCACACCCCCACATCCTCACACCTTCACATCCTCACACCTTCACATCCTCACACCTTCACATCCTCACACCCTCACACTTTCACATCCTCACACCCCCACATCCTCACACCCTCACACCTTCACATCCTCACACCTTCACATCCTCACACCCACACCCTCACATCCTCACACCCTCACACTTTCACATCCTCACACCCCCACATCCTCACACCCTCACACCTTCACATTCTCACACCTTCACATCCTCACACCCCACACCCTCACATCCTCACACCCTCACATCTTCACATCCTCACACCTTCACATCCTCACACCTTCACACCCTCACACCTTCACACCCTCACACCTTCACATCCTGACACCCCCACATCCTCACACCCTCACACCTTCACATCCTCACACCTTCACATCCTCACACCCCACACCCTCACACCCTCACACCTTCACATCCTCACACCCCACACCCTCACACCCTCACACCTTCACATCCTCACACCTTCACATCTTCACATCCTCACACCTTCACATCCTCACACCTTCACACCCTCACACCTTCACACCNCACACCTTCACATCCTCACACCTTCACACCCTCACACCTTCACACCTTCACATCCTCACACCTTCACACCCTCACACCTTCACACCCTCACACCTTCACATCCTCACACCTTCACATCCTCACACCTTCACACCCTCACACCTTCACACCCTCACACCTTCACATCCTGACAACCTCACACCCTCACATCCACACACCTTCACACCCTCATATCCTGACACCCTCACATCCACACACCTTCACATCCACACACCCTCACACCTTCACATCCACACACCCTCACATCCTCACACCTTCACATCCTGACACCCTCACATCCTCACACCTTCACACCCTCATAATCTGACACCCTCACACACTCACATCCTCACACCTTCTCATCCTCACACCTTCACATCCTCACACACTCACATCCTCACACCTTCACATCCTCACATCCACACACCCTCACATCCTCACACCCTCACACCTTCACACCCTCATAATCTGATACCCTCACACATTCACATCCTCACGTCCTCACATCTGCACACCTTCACACCCTCACACTTTCACATCCTCACACCTTCACACCTTCACACCCTCACATCCTCTCGCATCTTCCCTGCCTCTTTTCGCCAGCTGAGCTCTTCTGTTTTTCAGCTAAATTGCTAATTCCGCTCTATTTTTTTTAACTTTAATCTTTTTTTCTAAATCACTTAACTTAGGTAATGGCTATGTCAAACAAATGTCTAACAAAGGCCTTCAATTTCTACCATGTCTGCTACTGAGGAAAATGTACTAGCCCACCCCCTCCCCCCCCCCAAAAAATATGAGGATTACGAATACATTATACCCATGATTATAATAATGTTAAAAGTATATAAATGTTGTAACGATGTTATAAATGCATATATCTTGAAATATGATAATATACATGTACAGGACACAACCTTACAAGAATGTAAATGTTCCATGCACGTCAGCAGGGCTTCGTTACAATGTCTTCGCTGGCTTTAGGTATCTGTCATATTCTCACATTGCTCTTATGTCTTTTCTATCCTACACTGAGTGTATAAATGACCACGGTTTGCATTTCCTACGGTGTAAACTAGTCACAGGGAGATAATCTTCCCTAAATACACCGCATGCTTCCTGTTACCCTTCTCTCATTTCACTCTAAGGGGCATTAGAGAGGTGATGCTTCCGGCAATGTCTGTGTGTATTTGGGGAGTGTGTTCGCATGGTGGGGGGGGGAGGGGGGGTACTAGGGTGAGAGTTCGGCATCTAAAATGCATTCCCTCAATCTTCAGTCTGTTTGCCCTGTCACCAACATTTAATGGTCACAAAATTACAGTTTCACAGACAGCAAGAGCAAAGGGCACAAGACAAATAGTCAGCAACTGCCTGAGCACTCAGCTGCGCTATTGAAGCTGCCTGATTCCTCCTCGCTGTGACAAGGCAGTGATTTTTCTGGGACATATTCCCACAGTCACAGAATGGGAAGCAGGGAGCAGGTAGCCAAGGCTGAGCCAATCGGTCTTCCTCTTCCCTCTACTAAATATTGTAAATCATTCTTTATCTGCCCCCTGACCCTGTGCTCCAGCAGTGTAAATCGTTCTCTGGCTGACAGCTGTGTTTACTCTGATCAATGATGTCCTGCAAATGTGCCTGGATGCTCCGGAGCCTTCCGTTGAGATAGTCACCCTCGACCTGCTGTTCTCACACCAGCGGTACATGCACCGCGTGCCGTAGTTAAACCATCACACACCAGCAATATGCGTCTCAGTCTGTCGCCGGGCACCTTTTTCCCGCAGAGGGCTTTGTGAACATCATTTGCTGTATTTTTATTTATTTGAATATTAAGAACACTGTTCTCATGCCTGACTCATGAAAATTGTGCCAAGCCACTCCTATTGTGAGAAAAATGGCGACACAAAACATGCCTAAACAGCATGTCACAGTAGTAATTCTTGTTTTTCTCGACATTACCCAACAAATTACCGAACATATCTGGTATTCAGACACAAATGTTACCCTTAACAACCAATGGATATTGATTACTCACTACTCTTGGTTACTCAGTCAATGCCATTAATATACAGCTTAATGAGACATAAATTTTTCTCTTGTATTTCTGTAGCTCTTCTAAAACAAACTAGTTTGTCACATTTTACAGTTAAATCTACCTTCTTTTAGAAAATGTCCCACATTTACCCACACAGATGGAGAATTATACAACACATCCGCAAATATTCCATTACCTCCAATACCTAGTAGCACTTAGAGATTGCCAAAAGTCTTGGAGGATCAGATGGACACAGGGTACTTTGGTAAGATGAAGCATGAATAAAGGCTTCTGCCCATGTTGACCAGAGGTTGGCTTGATTGCTATACAGAAAAAAATGCCATATCTATTATAAAATACAGTGATGGACTGTTGGTCTTATCAGGCTGTTAGTCACACTTGTCCTGTTGGCCTTCATGAGGTCATTGACATGAGGGCTTTTAACCAAAAGCCGATGGTCTCTATCAGGAAAGTGAGACTTTATAAAAATCAACATTCTGGAACAGGCATCCCCAAACCCGAATGCCTTTCAATGCCAGTAGTTTGAATTTCCAAGGGCAGTTTATACAAGGAGATTAAAGAATAAGGGGGGTCTGGAAAGATCCTGTATGGAGCCATGTTATAATACACCCCCCCCCCAATGTATTTTACAATCTGATAGAACAAAAGGCCCAGTGGCAGTATTCCTAAATGGGAGGGGCTTCATGGCCTGAAGAAAGCTTCACAAATGGTGGCATTAAATTAAAATTCAACTTAAATTAAACCGAAATATCATATTTATCATACTCTGCAGAATTCAAATATATCCACTAATTTTCCAACTGCTTACCCTGTAGACGGACACGTGGGCCGGGAGTGAATCCGACGACGGCACAAGGCAGGGCAAACCTTCTACGGGAAGAATTAAAATATAGTATAGTATTAATTTTACATAGAATTATCATGCTACATTTTCCCAGCTCATCTTATCAAGAAAGTCCAGGATTTCCAAGCTAACCCTCCGCTGAGCATGTCAGAAAATCCCAAGAGGAGAAGTTGGGAAAAAAGAGTGCCAGTGTTCTGACAAAACGTCCTACTTTATCAAAACATCCTACCGTAGTGCTAATCGATAGCCCTAACCCTAACTTTTACCCTAACCCTAACCCCCAAAAAACCCCTAAAACTCTTACCTTAACCCTAACCCTAACCCCTAAAACCTAACCCTAATCCCAAGACGGTGGAACTGCACATGCGCAAAAAGGCTCGATAGCACGTCTCGATAGGTAGGATGTTTTGTCAGAACACCGGACTACCACCGCCCCCCCCTCCCCCCCTGTTATTCAGTGTCAGAACACAAGAAACATTCCTGGTACTCAGAAGCAAAGAGGTGCTAGTACTGAATACCGGTGAGTACTGGCCCTCTTCACGCACTGGGTTTGAGGCAGCAATACTAGCAAACGGGTCACTGTTTATGGTACTCTATTGTTAGTAAAACAAGGAAATATTTCAGATGGCGCTAAATAATCTAAAACCTACTACAGATTTGAAAATGTAGATCTTTATTCCGGGTTAAACTTTTACAACTATGTTTTTAGAAGATTAATACATTTTGCAACACTGAAAAATAAACGGTCAAAAAACATATTCAGCTTACCGTAAACAATCACATTCACATGAAATGTTCAGAACGTCCAGGAACTTCTGCTGAAATATGGTGGCTTTATCAGTTGATCATAACAGGTCTGCCTTACTCAGCAGAACACTACTAGTAACACACAACAACTATTTCTAACAAAAAATAGTGAACTCTTTTGGAATTCTCACTAGAGATATCAGGCCTGTAAAGGTGTATGCCAGAAAATCTCATTAATTTTGGAGTTATCCCAAAAAGAGCATTGGTAAATATATCAAAAGACTCTTATTTTTTACTGGGAAAAACACTAAGGTAGTAGTGCAACACCCTTGTGGAAAAAAATATAGCCGCATAAAACCAGTTTCTAAGTTTTTATTTTAAAAAAAGAGGGCATATACTGTACTATACCAGTAGCTGTAGCAAATCAAATGCTGAGCAATGAAAAATTTCAGATCCCTATCGGTAAGGTGTTCTGGTTTCAGCTGGAATTCCTACTTCATGGGAATAAAAGAAAAAACACAGATGGAAAATCTGATTTTAAATTTGAATTTCTTCTGCTGCCACATATAAAGCCATGTGATTTTAGAAATTATTTTTTAATTCTATGCAGCCCTCCTTCCTTCGGCAATGTGCATTGATGCGGCATATAAATTTTTTATATCCAGCAGTAAACGCAAAAAAAAAAAAATCCTCCCTCACGCAGCGTATCACCTACCTTCTTGACATTTCCCTGCTAAGCAGCCTTTACAAAACCCTCAGTCCCTATCTTACATGGCGCAGGGTGAAGACCACTAGAGTTTGCGATAGAAAGAATAAAACTTTTACCAAACACATTACCACAAATTAGCGGGTAAAATCTGTGCTCTGTCAACGTGGGGTTTACTAATTTGGAAATACGGTGATTTTGCAAGTTTTTTTTTTTTTTTTACATAAATCGTTCTTTGGGATAAATGCAAGACAAAAGGAGAGAAGGGAAGAATGGACAGTGACAAAAGAACGAAAGAAAAAAAAAAACATAATCAATGAACGGGTTAAATTTGACTCATACCATCTTTGAGAAATTGAAATTGGGTAAAAAATTCCTCCGCCGTGGCTACGGAGAAAGCGAGGTAGAAGCATTTAGCCTAAAGTAGATAGTGAATGCAGTTATACGCTTAAAGTTCAGAACTATTTGTAACCCATTTTTAACTAGTTATTTGTATGTAATAAATTATAAAAGTTGTATGAGATATTTATGGATAGTCATAATTTAGTGAATGATTTTTGCTAGAGTAAACACTCATTGATGGATCTACCCGTAATTTCCTGCGGAAGGATACATTCTCCTCTCAGTACAGTGACAGGGGAGCGAGGAGAAAAGTTTAGAAACTTAGAGCTCGACTTCACTTTAAAAATCCGCCAAAATAGACGAAAAATGAGTGAGTAAGTCATGAAATTGAACGTTTTAAATTAAAAAAATCGTTTTTAAAAAGAGTTTGCTAAATTTAATTTAGTTTTTTATTAGTTCACCTTGCTAGCTAAACTAGACTAGCTAACCTGACGGAGCTCAGCCTGGCGCTGGCGGCTCTATGTGGAAATTAAATAAAACATGGGTCAGCTACCCGGTGTCTCTTCGGGCAAAGTCATCTTCTTCGTCGCTTGCTGGATCCACATTTCAGCGGGTGAGTACGCATCCTAAATGGGGCAAGTTCATCTTTAATTGGGTTAAATGGTTGCACTACGTTATACGTGGTTCCAAGTTTACATCTGTACTACATAGCGCCGCGGTGTTGGTCCTCGATTATTTTTTGTCAAATATTGATAAGTAAAGTATGAAGGAACAAATGATTGTATGTTACTAAGTTCAGTTAAATTAAAAAATGAGCTTAAAGGAATGTTTTGTTTAATTGGACTACTTAATCTCCTTGCCCCATGGCTGACTCTGGTGTGTAGCTGAGGAATGTGTTTTAAATAAAGAAATGTATATGGAGAGGCTATAAGGAACATTTCGTTGTGGAATTGAACAGTACGCATGATTTTCTAGGTAGCTAACTTGCCAGGGAGGGTGTATACAGCGGTTGGAAAATGGGGCTCAATGTCAGTAATCGAATAATTAGGAGGAAATATGCGGTGCTTTTTCGGTTCTGGGAGAATTCGTGCTTTAAGTGAGCGAAGTGAATAAGGTAACGCGGGTTGCTGTTTTGAGATCGACGACTTGGTCTCCGGCAGCAGGAGCGAGTCGCACCGCAGCCCAGATGTTTCCAGAGTCCGGACTTCAAAATGGATCCTGCGGAGCCCACTTTAAATTCCTATACAAAGTATTACTTTGTATTGCCTTTCCAGCACTCGCTTTGCACAGAGAAGGGCTGCCGGGTAGCATAGGTTATATTCACGCCTATTCCCTTACTTTTTGATCATTTTCGCTTTAGCGGACAACGACTGCTAAAAGTTTTCTGGAATTCCCTAGTCTTTCCTAATAAATTCGTGTGTTTAAATGAATAGCGATGGGATTTTTTCCATTTCCAAAAACCCACTTCTGTGCCCGTACCTGTCTGAGTAAGAAGAGGGGAACCGAGTCAAAATATCACGTGTTGAACAGTTTTTTTTTTGATATATTAACGTGAGGGCGTATTTTCAACAACCGAGAGTAAAATGTAGAGGGAAAAAAATGCAGGAGGTGGGTGTTGCGCTCCGCTCTACACCTTTGGCGCATTAAAAAGCGCTTTCCGATGCAGAGCCGTGTAACGAAGGGAGGGAAGACAAAACTGCTGTAGGCAGAAGGAGAAGGTGCTGGAATGCTGCTGTTTTTTTAACATTACACCCACTTACGCGCTCCCTCTCTCACTCATCCAGAAGGCTGCATTAACGCACTTCGCGGGAGACGGCTCATTATATTGTAAAAGCAATGAACTTGTGGCTCCTCTGAATCAAACTTTGTCTTCGTTACTACGTTACTACGTTTTTCGTTACAAGACAGAGGCTCTGACAGTCTTGCGTGGGACGCTGGATCCGTCTATTTACTCGGCACAGGCGCTCACGCTTCCAGGGCGCCGTTCCTCCAGCACATTGCGTGGTGTGAAATATGATTTATCCCCGACAAGCCAAGGAACTGGCTGGGAGATACAATAGCTTTTTTTATTGCCCCGCCTACAACCTTGCATTGCTGAACATTGTCCCGTCCCACTGGCACTGGTGGGTTCGGTGTTCGAACGAACCCGTACAAATATAGTTTCACATACATTGACAATATCGTATTGTTTTGCTGCCTCCCGCCTAAGAAATGGCATGTTGGTGCGCAAGGAGACGCGCACACAGAACTTCCTTCCAAACGACCACATTATTGGACACTCTGCGGCTGGTAATGCTGTGGTCCAGTCTGGAATCAAATCCATTTTTATTACAGCTTGCACAATCCCGTGTAAGAGATGATTACATCGCTGCTCAAAAACCAATATCCTACACACTGGGGACTGATAAAGTTCTTAACTGGATTTTAGGAAACCGTAGTCATTATCCCAGCAGACTGTCTCGCGTTTCGTGATCCACCTTACTATTGTAGTTGTATTATTAAAATATCCGAATCTATTATGACTTAATCCCCTCGAGGTAACACAGTATTGCTCAACAGGAGTCTTCATTAGCAAGCTGCATCGAAATTACTACTGTGCTGTAAATTTGATGGAAGCTTTGTGCAGACTAACCAAACTGGTTAGCCAATGAGATTAATGAACAAGAATTTGTGGGGAAAGATGTACATAATAGTTAGGTTGGTTTGAATGACCGTTAAGACAATTATATAATTTCTGAATGTGAATAAAACAGTTTTTAATATTGTGTCAGCTGAATGTGACCTGGCAGTATTAACATATAAAATGACTGTTATATGCCTGTGCATTTTTTCTGGTTGCACTGGATACAAATGAAATAAAAAACAGAATTCTTTTTCCCCTGACCTTTTGAGATCCCTGGTTTGTGGTGTTGGATTGCTTGCGCTCCCTGATGCATGTTGTTTCATAGCAGCCTTTTTCTCAGACTGAGATTTCCCTTGTCTGATTAAATATTGTGAGGTTGAATTGATTGATCGGTCATCTGAGCAATGGTTAACACGTATTCACCGCTGAATTGCTGGATTCAGAGGGACTGAACGAGCAACTTTGGAAAGGAAGAGAAAGAATAGGAAAGAGGTGGAACAGTGAAAGAGAACGTGCATAAGAGATGCATTACAATAGCTGGAGGTTTATAGATTGCAGCCACTTTCATATTGTCTCTGCTGTAGGCCAGTTTAGAGCATTAACAGAGAATTAAGATGTTTAGCATTCCTGTTATAGTAGAAGTGGAATAATCCTATGATCCCCCCACCCCCCAAAAAAAAAGCTGGGCTGGGGTTCCTTATTTCTCCAGGGAACTGGTTAGATAGGGTTGCTGGGTTTCTGAATTTCATAAAATTTCATGTAAAAGTTTGCATTGCTGTTCATGTACGTCAATTAAACAGAAGAGTCTGCTCGTGTCCTTAAAGCAGCCATTTAGCTGAGCAATACACAGCACTGAACAGCTGGGAATGAAGCAATTCTAGGAAACTGAGTTGCTTCCTGAGTGCGTATGAACAACTTCCTGTCCAGTTCATTATGGACTGTCTCCAGTTCTGTGAGGCTCCCTCTGGCTTTTTGATTTTTTTTTTCCCCCGGATGCCTTCTAATTTCCCGTCCTTTTTTTTGCACCCTTTCAGTCTAGCTCTCTTATTTAATCTTTCTTTGAAAAGGGTACGTATCAGCCCTGCTTGGCACCCACTCAGTAGTGCACACCACATATGGGACACACCCTCAGGCGTTCACCATCGCTGCGCTGGCACACACAATTCCTCACATCTGGATGGCGCTGTCATGGTCAGTTCCCTCGGTGGTGAGTGGGCCTCCGCCAGCTGAGGTTCCATATCATGCCCTGAGCATTTTCTATCTCTGTGTTGCGTTGACGCCTCGCCGGCTTCACACTCCCATCGGCAGCCGTCAGGGGCTGTCCCCGTGCCAGACGAGAAATATGATTTGTCCAGCTTTTTTTCCTCTTCACCCTCCCTCTCTCTGTTCTCTCACTCTCCATTCCTTCTCTCATTTGGCTATCACACAGACTTAATGCAACTAGGAAAAGAGAAGGAAGCACCTGGAATGAAAGGGCAATGTGAAGGAGGAGGGGAGTGCTGGATTTGATTTAGTGCACTGAACAATTGCTGTCCTTTTTTTTTTTTTTTTTTTAACCTTCCGTCTGTTTTTCCCCTTCTCTCACTTAAATACCTTACCAGACGCTGATCAGAAAGCATTACTGATCCTATTGCATTACAACCAGCTTGTTTCTTTGTAACGGATGATAAAATTCTCAAAACTTGTGTGAAGAATGGAAATTAAGTGAGGTTTGATTATAATGTGAACAGTAAGCGTGAGACTAAAGGATCTATTTTTCTTCACAATCTGTTTTTTGGCTAATAATGTAATTGAGTGTAAGTAACAAGTCAGTCTGTTCTGGAGATAGTTTTGCTCTCTAGGAAAGAGCGGTGACCTTCATTGTCTCAATTAGGCTGTAACAAGTCATAGCTTTTGAGGGGTTTTGAATGTAAATTGGTTAATTAATGTCAGTGTGCTGGGCATGTTGTGTGGAAAATTCTTTGTGGAAGAATGACTGTGTGTGAGTCTGTGGGCCTTGTCAGACCACTGAAAAGAGGGCTTTTCTTCCCCTTTCTTCCCTCATTCATCTCTGTTCATGAAAACCGTAAACCAGCTGATGTAGTGTTAGGTTTTAATGGTTTCACAGTTATGCGCACTGTCAAATTTTTCGACGTAAAAAAAAAATGCTAAGCTCAGGAAAATAAAGACCAGCATTTGTTTTGGCATGAATCTTCACACATAACTAAGTAAATTAATACTTTCAAAATTTAAAAATACATTTTAGTGGCATTAGCATGTGGTGTGTGTGTGTGTGTGTGTGTGTGTAGGTCACAGAGTGGAAAACCCAAGCCTCCGTAGTACAGCAGCGCTTGAGGAAGTAAGCTGAACATAACTGGCACTTCCTGTGCTGTGCAGTGTATCATGCATGTATCATAGCTGTAGCAAAGTCACCTGACTTACTGTCATGCTCCCTCAAAGAACAGCCGTCGTCTGGCTGTCCAGAATCACTTTCAAGAATGAGATTGAGTAACGCATTTTTGATTTGGTTCTTAACTCATTAATCATTTTCACATATGATTATCTTTGCGTTATCTGTGTATATATCTTTCACATCTAAATGTTTTTGCATAGCAAAATCCTGAACCACAACCTGTACTGCAAAAAGACCCCATGTACCTAGAAAAAAGATTATTGCTTAAAATGGTGTGACTGCATACCCACCACCAAAAGCTGGCTGTTCTGCATCGGGGAGTGTTCATGAGAGGGACTGTCATGTCTGTTCTATGGTTTCACTTTTACTGCCTTTGGTTTCAGATGGTAAAGGGTAGGCAAGAGGTCACGGCCTTTCTGATGTGTAGATCTTTCCAAGGTCCTTTTATCCTTCTAGTTCATATATTGATTGACTGCACACTGCACACACGAAATGTGTGATCTAACCAATTAGATATCACAAGTGCATAAAATTGGTATCAGGATTCACAGTTCATACAAAGTTTAGATGCGTGTTTATGAAGATGTTTGCTCAAAGGAGCCTATGTTTTTGAAGTGTTTCTCACTATGTACCTTTGCAGCAGTGGTTCTCAGACAAATAGCTGCAATACAAAGATTGCCATAGATAGTGGATTAGGTACTTTTATCCTTGTGTGTTGTATGAACTTGGGCAATTAACTGTTGTTTGGTGCTGTGAAATCAGTGAATCAGTCTTGATTTTTTAAATGTATTTTTTGCTGCTTTAAGTTTTAATACCTTGTGTAATAAACAGCTCTTTCATAATGAGCAGATAATCTCTACTAACAAAGATAATCCAAACAGCAGTGTTAATTAGTTACTGGATTTTTCTCAACTTTAGCTTGTCTTGCATTACAGAGGATGGATTATATTTAGATAATCTGGCAAATTTGGTGCAGAGAATGGTAAATATTTATGCCAGATGTCAAAAATTTGGCCAAAAGACCCATGTGTTGCAGTGTTATTTTAACTGTTACGCCAAAATGTTTTGCAACAGCATTGAATGTAACTTGGCAAATTATCTATTGCGATAGTTAGACCTTAGCTTACATAAAGTGTCAGCACAGCATGACTGCTAATATGAAACAGATAAGTAACTCTGAGAAATTTTGTGAGCCTGGCTGAGATACCCAGCCTAAATGTGTAGAAGCAATGTTCAAATGCACTATATAAAAGTGGAACAAAACATCCCATTTTCCTGTATCTGCTGTAAGCGGGATCTAAGATGCTTCAGATTAGGGATGGGCCGACCCACATTTTTTTCAGCTCTGATCCGATTCCAATACACAGCTCCCAATACCGATGCAGATTCTGATACAAGAGCTCTTTTTACTGTAATATTTTAATATAATATATGGTTATACTTTGTTATTTTTAAACTGGCAAATACAGATGGAAAAAATGTATGTTAGGCTACTAGAGAGACACGTAACATACTGTTCCACCATGTTTGTAGATCTTGTTTTAAGCGTTTTTGAGGCATTTGCAGTTCTTTATTAATATCTTCCAAGCGAGGTTACGCAGGTGGCAAATGCTTAAAATGCCCGGCAGTGTTTCTCCCTTCGTGTATCACAAGCTGTAGCGACTGCGTGAAACAGCCCAAACCACTGCGCTCACATCCACTGAGTGGCAAAAGGACTGAGTGGCAACATTAGCATTTAGCTTGAATGCCGCAAAAAACATCTAAAACAGGAAAGAGCTGTCATCCGACTTGATTTTAAAAATAGGTTTAACACGAAATAGGAGCTTTTTAAAGACTGCCAAAATCTAAACACGTAAGTATTGGTCGTGGATCAGCCACGTACAGTATGGCCAATAGCCAGTCTGTCTTATAGGTCGGATAAGTGCATCTCTACTTCAGATACTGTGATGTGGAATTCATGAATATTTTGGCTCAAAAGGGGTTTATGTAAACTTGTTGAATGGGAATATTGATAATCAGTCACCTGCCTTTTTAATAAAGGTTGTTACCCTTTTGTTTCACAGCTCTACAGTGTTTAGATTCCACCAGGCCCTGTGTGAACAACGCAACCTGCATCGTCTTTAGCAATGGCACAGGATACTGCAGGTGAGCATTTATTGTTTGTGTGTGAGGATTTTGCTGATCTCCCTCTTAGAAAAGCAGCACTGTGACAGGATGTGAATGTCTGTCTTGTCATTTCCTAGATTAGAGCTGTGTTTGTCTGTCTGTGTTGCATTGTGGTCACTGTGTTATAGTGGCAGCTTTCTGCTTCCTGTCTCCCTGAGCTATCAACATATTCTGTGAGAAAGATGTGACTGTGTTTAAAAAATGCTTAGAAATCAATGGAAGTTTTTGTGAAGTAATAAGAATTTTGTTTTTTTTTATTTGAATGAACGGTGTCATGTACCTTTCATAATCTTTAAGGTGGTACAACCATTGCGGCTGCCTCAGACCCTGCACTCTCAGGGGCCCCGCCTGCACTCTCAGGGGCCCCGCCTGCACTCTCAGGGGCCCCGCCTGCACTCTCAGGGGCCCCGCCTGCACTCTCAGGGGCCCCGCCTGCACTCTTAAGATTTGCCTAGATAATGATATGTTAAATAAGTAGTTGTTAAATAACTGTATTCTTTTTTTTCATTTGTAGTATACATCTCATTTCATCTAATATTTTGGTTAAATATTAGCGCTGCAGTGGTACACGTAGCAGTCACATACAGTTCAATACATCATTTTTGATTAAGTATACACACCGAAACCATTGAATACGTTTATTGACATGGGCGAAACCTAAATTCACAAGTAGATGTTCCACTAATGCTGGTTACAGTCAGTCGTAATCGGTGATTTGGGAACATTGTAGTTTCCCAATAAAGTACACAAGCACTGGAGAGAGAATGGGTAAGACCAAGACCATCTGTCATTATACTGAATTTGGATATGTTGCTGAAAACGCATCCAACGTGTCAAATCATTTGAGACGATATCATTCAGCTGTGTGTACGAGCAGAGTAACAAGCAAATTAGTCAGCCTGTGGCATTTACGGTAAAGATGTTTTTTTTCTGGGATATTGTGACTGGGCTAAAATGTTTTTTTTATGACTATAGGGATGTTTCTACAGATATGGAACCGTAGTAGGGAACATATTTAGTACATTATGATTGATATGATATATTTTTGTGCGTTTATTTTACGTAGTTATATTTACTATGCGTAAACAAGCATCTCTTAAGTTTTGTTATTCATATGTCAACAGACATATTGCCTTTGAATTGCAACAGTCCCTAATTCTGTTTGCAGTTTTAATAATAAATCATTTCAAAGCAAATTCAGCTTTTCTTGCTGTACTGATGTTGCGCGGAACTTTGAACCTAAAACCGAGGTTTCTTCCAAACCGTGAGTTTTGTGTACCGTTATGCGCCTACTAAATATACACTGGAAGTACACTCAGTCTAAATCTTGAACGTGTGATCTTAGCCTGGGCTAGCTTAACTGCATAGCCGTGCTACCGTTTAGCACTAGCTAGGCAAGAAAGTCCAGAAAGGTCACACTGCAGACTGTCACCGGCCAGTGAGTTATTATTCTTAATTATAGCTGCATCTGTATTGCAGTGACCGAGCAATAGCAGGCGCAGTGATTCCCATTACATGGTTTGTTCTCCTTAGCTGGGGCCCCAAATAAGTTGGATTGCCTTTGGGCTTCGCCCCTCCCCAGAGACGGGACTGTTCATAATAAAATCTGTCGCAGGCAGTTTGCAATTTGGTTGCCTTTTGCATTGCATGCTTTGTGCTAGATAACGGTTCCAAAAAAAAATATTTAGTAATCCAGATAAAGGTAATGGTGATAAGATTTAAGGTGTCAAAAACAAATGGCTGATTGTGATGACCAGTATGTAATATTTGGACAGAAACAACTTAGTGTGAGTCCAACATGCCAGACATCTTTTTACATGCTCAGCAAGTGGCTCTCTGCATTTGTGCTGTGATGTGTTTTAAAGATTTGTTTTGTGGTTTGTAGTTTTTGATCTGCGTATGCGCTCAGTTTACTTTTCACGCTAGCAGAAACACACATGGGAAGATCACAGGGAAAGAAAGTCTGCAGACAAATGGATGCTGCTCAGGTTTCAGATTTTATAACCGAAAAGCTATAAATTTAAACCCACCTGACCCTTGCAAACCAAGCAAACAACATCTTAAAAAAGTAAAGTGGAACGGGGTCAAGGGAAAGGCACATTCATTTGCAGTGCTGGGGAGCCGAGCATTATTTCAAGTTATGGTATCTTTGCAAAATCCATTAACTTTTTTTTTTCTTTTTAACAGATAATTCATCCATTTTAAAACAAAAACTTTGGCATAATATTTTATATCTAGCACAATTTTGAAAGGGCAAATATGTCAGATTTTAACTTAACACGCGTTATTATTCATACCAAGTGAATATGAATGACAAGCAGTTTTTTTTTTTAACTGATACAGTACAGTGTTTCTGGCTCTTTTTAATTCCAGGGTGCATTGCCCATAACAGTGTGAGGGAAATTCTCTTGCACTGTGTTTTGAAATGTAGGCTCCTGGAAAGTAGTGTGACTTCTGAAGAGGAATTAATTAAAATAATGTTCCAAATCTTGGCTGGTGAGATCCGGACTATTACAGGATCGAGAGCTGGTGACTGACTGCTTTTTGTCCCTCCGGGGAACCGTGGGGGGAATGAAAAGGCAGGTGGTGCAATTAGGAAAAGGAGGGACAAAAGAGCTGGAAGTTCTTAGGAGTGACGGGAGGAGGTGAAGGAGCAGAGGTTTGGACGCAGTTTTAGTTCACTGTCTGATCAGCAGATTTTCAGTTCTGCATTTGTCCCCTAAGGGGTAGCAGAACTGATGCATTTTTAAAATAGATGTCGGTTTCTAAAATATCTTCTCATCAGTGGTTTTCCTTAAGCATTTGCTTTCTTGTTTTTTTGAGAAGCACTTTGGTGGTTTATAGTAAGTGCTGAATTTGTGGGAGTCAGCCAGGCCAGTCTGTGTCTCAGCACATAGCTTCTTGAGTAGTGGCTTCTGAAAGTAGGCATTGTCAGATGCTTCAATGAGGCTCAGCATACTAAAGGCGCGCAGTGAAAAATAAACAGTGGAATCTCCCAAGACCAAGCCATTATCTTGCAGACTTCTGCTCTTATTTTGTTAACATTCCTCAGAGTCACTGAGTTAATAATGACGGCGTGTTATTGTGTTGACAAGCTGTGTGGTGCTAATGCTGTTGAGTAACTCCTTTTATTTAGTGCAAGGCTGAATAGGGGCCGACGAGTTACAGATTAAAGAAACGTTTTTTGTTTGTTTTTTTTAAAGGGAAACTTTGGAAAAGGCACCATAGCATTGTGTTTTACAGATAAGACCCTAATGTTAGTGTAGTGCCACCATTGCCTAGGTGAATTTGGATGATTCTTTTCCACTGAGAGTAATTCTAAACAAAGCTTATCTGGAACACTGTCAAAGTGGGGGGGTGTGTTAAGTTGTCAGACCGGTGAAACCGCACGTCCCAGGGAGGGGTGTGTGAGAGCATCCGTGTCATCGAGTCTTATTAAGTAGCTGTCTGCAGTGTGTCCATCTTTGCGAGTGTCTCAAGTGTGTCTTCACGCAGGTTCTATTGACACACTTAATAGTTCAAGACGTTTCAGCGTCCCCAGTGCATAGGTTAAAGTGGGAAATGGCCAGTCTGTCTCTGAGGATCATGCCCTCTCTACAAGAAGTCCTGAACTGGTCAAACAGAGATCTGCTGCCTGCACTTGCCAGGCATGACTTTTTGAGTGGAGAAGATCCCTTTGAGTGCAGTGCTCCGGTCCACAGCGAACTGTCCTGTCTCTCTCCCCTGTCTCTCTTTCTCTCTGCTCGAGGAGGGGGGGGTGGTGGTGGCGTGCTGTTTGTTTGATCTAAAAGGTAGAATTTGTCCCGGGGCAGATTCAGGGGGAGACAAAGGGAGTAAGGAATGGAAGACGTCTTTTAACAGCGAAGCAGCTGTAACATGAGACCCAAGTTTCTTAACACGCTAAGCAGTGATGAGAGACGTGGATTGCAGCCGGGGGGGTGAAGAGGAAGGCGCCTCCCTCGTCGCACGTCTGTCATCCTGAAGGCAGTGTGGGAGAGTGCTCTGGGCCCTGTTCATTTGGCCTCCAACAGCTCCTCTTTCTCTCCTTGATTCCCCCCCCCCCGTTTCTCTTTGAGCTTGCCCCCTTATGATCTCATCATTCTGATGCTCCCTCTCTCTCTCTCCTGCTGCGCATTAAAACAACACAGGTCAGCTTTCTGCTTCGACGGTCCTGCTGGCCGTCGCCCTTCCGCCCGTTCAGTTACGCTCCCGAGGCAGGAGGTGCCGTGGTGTGGCTCCCAGCCAGAACCCTTAAGAGCAGGGCGAGTGTGGGAGCGTCGCTGGGGCGACGCCCTCTGCTGGGGGAGAGGAATCGCGCAGCTGGCACTCAAAAAACCCACCATCCAATTAGAAAGTCACAAAAAGCAGGCGTGTTGAAGAGGAGATGGAGCTGTGATTGTGTTTTTTTCTTCCTGGTACGCTGGGCGTGAGAGCTGTGCCCCCTACAGGACTGTTGCGGCAACGCAGGTCACAGGGGGAGCACCTTGGAAGAGGGTGGAGGTGCAGGTTAACCATAATGGCAGGATCCTTCCATTTACAGGCGCACGCAGTCACACGCCCCATGCGGCTTCTCAGCACAAACACAATGGCCCCGCGCCTTGCAGGAGCACTGGCGGGCGGGCGAGCACGCACACGCTCAAGCACACGCACGCCGCTCTCAGCGGAAGCCTCACAGGAAAGCGAGGAATGTAGTGACCAGCCTCTAAACCCACAGCGCCCAGCGCTGAATTGGTGCTGAGCTCCACAGGCTTATGGTGCTAATGGCCGAGTCAATGTGATGTCATGTGTGAGATGAAGTGGTTTTTCACCATAAGAAATGCAATGTCCTTTGATCAGACTCATTCTTGAGTATAAATGACAGCTTGATTAAAGGTACAGTGTGGCTCAGAATGTAATATTATAGTCATGTATATATGAGAGGGCCAGAGGATGACCTGACATGGCCACCCAAGGTAGCTTTTTACATGAAATTGTTTAAA